TGACTCCCAGGCTCCTCCACTTACAACAAGCTGTGCAACTTTGGGCAGATTCCTTAGTCTCCCTAAGCTTCTGTGTCTTTAGCAGGGAAATGAGGAGAATAATGCCTGCTTCATGGGGGTGTTGTGAGGATTGTATGAGATCATGTAAGACAAGACAATCAGTACAGGGTCTGGAGCCAAGTAAGCACTCATTCAGGGCAGAACAGCAGCAGTAACAGTAGCAGCTGCAATGGCAGGAGAAGGAGGAGTAGATTAGTAGTAGCAGCAGTAGTAGCAGCAATATCCACAATAGTAGTGGTAGCAGCAGCAGTAGTAGCATTAGATTAGCAGTACCAGCAATAGCAGCAGTAATAGTAGCAGAAGCAGCAGCAGCAGCAGCAGCAGTGCAGTAGTAATGGGAATAATAGTAGAAGTAGATTAGACTAGTAATAGTAGCAGCAGTAACAGTAATAGCAGCAGCAATATTTTTACTAGTACTAATAGCAACAGCAGAAGTAGTAGTTATTACCACACCAGCAACAGTTGTTATGATTATTGTTATAGAAAAAAGGATCTAATTGCCTTGAACTCTGAAAAAGAATTTAGCCTTCAGGAAACTGTTGGAGAATTAAGTAAATCTGTCTCCTCCATCTCCCCGTGGACACTGGGGCCTTGAAGATCCCATCCAGGACCTCTGACTCCAAGTCTAAAGCACTCTACCATACCATGCTGCCTTAATGCTGAGTTGGAGCGTAATTCTGTGGTAAAGGAATCCATGGAGGAAATCTGAGCTGTGGAATGTCTCAGAGAGGCTGAGGTTTTGGGAAGATAAATCCATAATTAGGATTCAGTTATCAGGGTGAGGTCAGGATAGGATTTTGGATTTGAGATTTCGTTCATTCTTTCTTTTATTCTGCTATAGCTACTGAGTACCTCTGACCTGTCTGGAACCATTAGGTTCTATAGGAGGTGTGAAGACAAATAAAACCTGAACTTTGCCCTCAAAGACATTAAATGATAGTGCGGGAGGTGACAATCACCTGAGTGAAAAATTAATAAACAGGCCTGGCGTGGTGGCTCACGCCTGTAATCCCAGCACTTTGGGAAACCCTGGGCGGGTGGATCACAAGGTCAGGAGATCAAGACAATCCTGGCCAACATGGTGAAACCCTGTCTCTACTAAAAAAATACAAAAAAATACAAAAATTAGCTGAGCATGTTGGTGCATGCTTGTAGTCCCAGCTACTCAGGAGGCTGAGGCAGGGGAATTGCTTGAACCCGGGAGGCAGAGGTTGCAGTGAGCCATCACACCACTGCACTCCAGCCTGGTGACAGAGCAAGATTTCATCTCAAAAAAAAAAAAAAAAAAAATTTGATAAACAGATGAATAAGCAAAGTGTTAGGGCAACCAAGAAAAGAAAGCAATTAATGACAACTGCTAAGACTGGGAAGATGTCATGAAGTTGGGACACATGAGCTAAGTCTTGAATGAGAAGGATTTTCTTAGTTAAGAGGAATAGAGATGTTGGCTGGAAATTAGAGAGAACAAGCAGGCATAACCAGTGGGATTTGGCAATTGAACAGAAATGGGGTGTGAAAGACACAAAAGTTGGATGATATCCAGGCTCCTGGCTTGGCCAGTTAATTTGAAAGAAGTACCACAAAATGGGATCATGTTTTCTGGAGCTCCTGGAAGCTTCCAAGCAGAGAATGGGTTAACAGGAGAGCATCTGCAGACAGGGAGGCCATTCCAGCAATTCAGGTAGGAAATAATGGTGGGAGTGGCTAGGAGGGAAAGCATGAGAAGGATAGAGGAAGGGAAGTGCACAACAAACCTGCCAATAGGCATTATTGTCCCATTTTAAAGATGGGGCAAGTAAACTGCTCTAAATGATTTATAAGATTATTAGCAAGTGGTGGAGCTGAAATTAAAATTCAGGTCTGTCTGACTCAGAGTCACTCCATAATACTACTTGAAGGCAGACGCAGAAGCAATGGGACTTGGTGGTTGTCAGCTGTGTGAGGAGAAAGACATAAAGGAGTTAAGGCAAGGGCAGGGCTTCCAACCTGAGCAACTAGAGGGAAAAAGAGAATATTAATCAAGACAACTGATGCCAGAGAGAGAAGCAGATTTGGACTTAAGATTGACATGGGGTCAGCTAAAAATAGATCCCAGGTCTTTAGGGGAACAAGTAAATTTTAAGCACTAAGGAGCTATAATAGGCATCATCAGGATGACTTTCTGGCTTGGTCGGGCTTAGTGTTGAGGTTTGGGGCTGAACTGAGAGACAGAGAGGTGTGATAGAGTTGTGTTTGTATCCAGGGTCCACGTCCTGTCCTAGTTCCTTACTGGCTGTGGACCATGGGCATGGGACTTAATCACACTAATCTGAATTTCTTCATCTGCAAAGTAGAAAAAACAAGCCCTGACCAGCATACCACCTGAATTTGGTGTATGAAGACAGACATGTGAGTGCCTCGGGGAAGTCCTGAGTTTCAGCTGGCAGAGCAGATCTGTATGATTACTTCATAAAGATGATCCCTGAGATGTTGCATGCCAATCAAAGTAACATAAAATGAGTTTTGTATATATCCTGGTAAGATTTGTTTGCTATGATATTGACAAAACATGCTATCTTGTAGAACCTATTTCCCCTTTTTCTTTTTAGTCTAGTCATTTCAGCCTCACATGAAGTTGGGTGAATATCATGTTCAACACTGTCTTCCCATTTGTTCAGAGTCCCAACTTCCAAAGCTTCTTTCCCCTCCCTCAAGGGTTCAGGGTTTTTGGGTGACCCCACTCTCACCATCCCCACTATTCATTCCACATTCAGTGAGCACAGACTCTGCTACATAATGTGTGTTAAGTGCTAAGGCCACAGAGATGAATAAAACCTAGGTCCCTAGCTTGACACTGATCCCTCAGTGTGACTGCCTTTCTTCTGGACACTCCTCTCACTCTTGTCCTCGACTCAGGAAGCATTTGTACTTCTGTCTCTACGTCATCTGGGAATAAGAAAAGCTTTGGCTCTAGAGAAGGGATTTCCAACTCTAGCAAGCAGATGAGAGGCAGAGCAGGGGTGAGGATGGTTTGAGAAAAGAGTTTTACTGAGTTCGAGGTATTTTATAGATGTTACTATATTCAATTCTCACCACAAATATAGGAAGTAGATATTAATCAGTCCCTTTTACACATGAGGATCCTGAGACTTAAAGAGATTACATTATTTGCCCAAAGCCATACAGCTTAACAGAAGAGCTGGGATTCACACTTAGGTTGGCCTAACTTTAAACCTGGGCTGTTCCTATTATGTTATGTCTCCCCTCTTCTTTCTGGCCCTGATTCATTGGCTAAGCTCAGCCACAAGGTAAAGGACTTCTTTAGTGCTCAGAAGGCAAGAACTTGGAGGAAGAATTCCGAACAAGAAATGAGGGACATAGTAGGCTTATTTCACATACCCCAGAAGGAGGAAGTGATAGGGAACCAGAGCTAGATTATCTGCTTGGGGCCAGTAACCCAGAGTGTGTCAGGATGGGCCCAAGAACCCTGCTGAGATTCCAGGGTCCCTGGATAATCTGGAAGCCTCTGCATGTCAAGTGATAAATGGGCCCCTTGTCTAAACTCTGCTCTCTGGAGGACTCTGGAGTGGCTAGAAGAAAGTCAGACAGATGTATGGGAATGAGAGATAGGAAGAAGGCAGGGCTTCAGCAGCAAGTGCTAAAAAGTCCTGAAATCATTACACATTTTTCCCAGCCTGTAAACTTAACATGCTTCCTTCCCCTCTGCCTATCCCCTACTACCTCTAAATGATGCCATTGTTTACTTGTTATTCTGCTTTAACCTGTTTCTTTTTTTGATGTGATTTTACCTGGAGACAAGTGGAGAAGGCCCAGCACAAAGTAGTGGAAGGGGAGCAGTGTTTGAATCCAGGTTCTGGATTCAAGGTTCTAGAATCCAGGTTCTAGACACGTGAGTGTAAAAAAAAGGTTTTTACCTTTAAGATTCTCATTTTTTCTCATCTTTGAAGTGTAGAAAATGATACTTACCTGATAGGACTGTTGGGAACATTAACTAAGGCAATGGATACAAAGGCATCTAGCACAACACCTGACACACAGTGTATGTTCAGTAAACATTTGGATGTATGAATCGATGCTGCACAAATGTTAATCGGCCTACACTTCCATAGTTGGCTCTGTTCTTACTACATAGAAAAAGGAATTGGGTTCTCTAAGGCAGGTCTCAGGTGTGTCAGTTGAGTTACAGTGAAAGGATCCCAGTTCTTTCTGTACTTACCGCCCCTGCCTCCATTTAAAAGGCAATAGAAAAAACTTCTAGCTAAAGGCTCACTGTTGCTGCTGCAAAACAAACATCATCTCCAGCCTCCTCTGCTGCGGGCTTATCAACGAAGAAACCGGGTAATCTCCAGTTTGTCTGCTGCAGCTGAGGGTAAACAGACTTTTAGTCCTGTCTCTGCACCTCTCAACTGATACAGAGCAAAACTAGCACTGCATCAGTATGGAGAGTTGCGTGAGAGCCAGGTAGAGACCTGGCATGATCCCTCTCCTTCCCACCCCTACTTTTTGCATAGTTGCCTGTCTCCTCGGAAATACACACAACACTGGTTTGGTGGGCAGCTCCACCCACCTGTGGCTCTAATCTAAGACAGACGTGGCTAGACAAGAAGATAGGCTGGCGCGCCCCCTGCTGGAGCCAGGTGGGCTAGCAGCCTCTGGCTGATTGTACACCTCTTGGTGCTGTCCTCCATCTCAGTGCTGAAAACCTTTCCCCTCTAGCTTGAGGTGATAGGTGTAACCTTGTCCAAGAAAGCTAAGGAGAAGCTGAGCAGAACAAGACCACACAAAGGGCTGCTGACAAACCCTGGTCTCTTGCCCAGCCCTTTTTTTCCTGCTCTGCCAATGTGAAAAAGCAGATAGTTCATCTTGCAAACACACCCCCCTACAGGCTGCCTTATAGCCAGTTTTTTTTTTTTTTTTTTTTTCTCTCTCTCTCTCTCTCGGAATGGGAAATTTTAGCAGAGCCCATATGCTATGATTCAGAGACAGTTAATATCACTGTGTCTAGCATTAAGTGCTATACTGTACACTCCATTTGCTGACATCCAGAAATGTAACATCCTGTCCCATGTCATCCCAGTCCAGAGAAATGACATGAGGCGACGCTTTGGAGCATCCAACTTCCAACCCAGCATCCTCCTAGAAAGGGAGTCCCCTCTATTTCCTCCCAGACAGATGTCGTTCAGACTCTTCTTACACTCCTGTGGTGATGGGGAGTTCATGGTCTTCCAAAGGAGCCCATCCAGTGGTTGGCAATTCAATTCACTAAAAGTTTTCCTCATCCTGAGAAGAAATCTATCTTACTGAGACTCACTCCCCAGATTTGGTTATTACCTCTGGACAACACGGAACAAGTTTGCTTCTTTTGTCCAATGATGTCCCTTTAACTTTTTGGAGACTGTGATCTTTCTTTCCTATTCACACTCACTCTTATTTTTTATTTTAAACAATAAACTGCTCCATTCCTTTCTAATGGGGAAGGATTTGCAGACACCTCACTTTCCTAGTCATATTCCAAATGATCAAAGCTACCATTTAGTGAGCACATAAAGATTTTTGCCTACTTTTTCCACACCTAAGTTCATTAAACTTTCATAACTATTATAGCAAGGTAAGTATTACTATGACCATCTTTCAGGCGAGGAAACTAAGATCTAGAGATGTTAAATAACTTGCCTAAGATCACACAGTTTTAAAGAAATAGAAGTAGGGTTTGAATGCAGAATGAGCCAAAGTTACCTGGATCCAAGTTTTTGCTCTTAAATCATCATTATACCTGCTGTTTGTGTAGTCTATGATCCAATTAATCAATGTAGTTTTAAATATATGGGCCAATATATGATCACAACATTATGGAAGTGACCTGGCCAAGGAAACATGGATCCAGACTATTGTCTCTCTCATTTTATGCACTCTGCCTCTTTTCATGCTATCTAAAATAATGCTATCATTTCCAAAAGACTGACACACTCTTGGTGCATGCCAAGCTGGTTGCAGTCAATTAAACTCCCCGGGACTTTGACATGGGAACTGCTGGAAATCAAGACTTGACTGTTGTCCCTTATTTTGATAACAAAGTCCTTGACCTCAAAGTCAGGGTTATACCAGTTTGGGGGTTTGCCTGTTGGTTCTTGAGCAGTGGGAGACCGAAAGGGAAAGGTGCCAAGAATGCTCAGAGGAACAGAAGAGCTGCACAAAACACTTTATTTGTGTTCCTATGGGCAAAACGAACCCAGGGGAGAGGCTGTATGTACAACATGACATTTGTAGCCAATCAACATATGGCTCTTTGTTATTATTTCTGAAAACCAGCATGCAAAGGAGAACAAGTTTTGCTTTTGATTTTTGTAGCAAACTTCAATAATCTCCAACCCAAACAAACAAACAAACAAAAAATGCTTTAGTGGAGCTTTATGCTAAGGGCTTTTCCTCCCTGGAGCCTCCCTGCCTCTCCCCGTCTTCTAATCCTCATTTCCGGGAGGTCATTTTAATTAGCAGGCTGTCATGGTGACTCAGCCTGCTGTTTCCACAGACAGGAAGGGAGCAGACTCCCCTGGACCCATTCATCATACAAAGGCACTTTACTCTTCACAAAAAATGCACAATATTTAGCTTGCTACACCTTGGGAATTGCTACTACCATTTTATTTTATCATTCCTCCCTGCCTCAGGGTGCATCCTTGTGTCTTTTGCATCTTCCTTGCCTGGCAATCACACTTTCCTCATTGTAGATTAGCAATGCCCACATCTTCAGGGGCCACGCTTAATCTCTGTCTCCTGGGATCTGGAGACTAACCATAATAAACCTTTTAAAATGAAGGACCAGTGCGTTTTTGTCTTTGGAGCTAAAATTTTAATTAAACTACCCAGGAAATAGGGAAATAGCTCTCAGCACAGTTTTCTAAATCTGCATGCTGGGGTTTGAGGGAATCAGGAAGCATGCAGCTTAGATACAGTGACCATATATTTAAGTCCACTGTGATTTCAAAAATCCTGTCCCATTGTTCCCTAGGATGCATTTGCCCTTGGGTTGCATGTGTTGTTGCTGTTGTTTTGGATCAGAAAATACAAACACTGCATTTCTAAATCTGTAAACAATCAAGCCTATTTAAAAGGTAACCATCTGCAGTAACTATAAAACTTAAAAATGTAAAGTGGCTTTGAAAGAACTGACCTGATATGTGTCAAGTATCTTAAAAGGGATGTGTAGGTTTTCCTCATCTTGGAAGATCTCTGTGTTATAGAAAATAGCATCTGTGCTCACCTGGTTCCAGTCTCCTATTTTGTTCCTGAGCTTTTTGAGCTGAAGGCTTACAATTGATTTTCCATTGGAAAAAGGGAAAATCAATGATGAAGTTTCTCATTGTATCCCTTCCCTTTCACTAGCCTATGCATTAATCCACAAATCCTCGGAAGCTAAAAAAGAGTGATTAATTTCATTCCCCAGCAGAAAATGCACGCTCCTGTCCCCATAAGACCTCCCAGGACTCCGTGTCTTTAAAAAGGGGTTGAAGGGTCTTTGTGGTTCACTGAGCTCTTCTTGTCCCCTTTGCCGTTGGGATAGTTGCTGGCTGGGCCCCGCAGGAGTGGGTGCTTGTAAGGAGGGGATTTTTCTTTCCTGCAAAGGGGGAGATAACAGAAAGAGAGAAGACAGCACATATACACACTGTGACGAAATCATTTGTGTGCATGTCTATCTTCCCCACTGGACTGTAACCTCCCAGGAACAGTAACCTGGTCTTCTTCCCACAGACACTAAAGGTGACAAAGACCAGCAGGCATTGATACTGTCTTCAAGTTGCTTATAGCTTAGGAGAGGAGACAATTGCATAAAATACCTACACAAAACAATAACTATAATATGTGTCAGGAAGTGGTTAGTGTCATAAATATGAGAATCTCTTGAACTAAGTTTGAATTCAAATTGAAGAAGAGGATTTGGAAACCATCAAGCTCTGACCTTGGCGCACGCATTTTTCTTTACTGTTGATGAGTCATGAATAAGGTAAAGACAGAATAGGTGGCACCACATAAAGGGACACCTTGCCCTAACATACCCTCCTTCCTTAAAGGAAGCCTCACTGCCTGAAAATCCACATTCATTGAAGAGCCTTGCTAACATAACAAGGCTGCCAGAATAGGTGAGATACAGCTAGACATCAGTACCTATTAACACCCTGGAGCACATGCATGGGGTGTAACTTATGGGCAATGTGATCTTGAAGCAGTTCCTTACCTTCTCTGGACCTCTATTTCTTTATTTCTAAAATAGGAGAAAAATTCATGTCCTTCCTGCCTCATAGGCCCTGGTAAATGGAGGTTGAAGAAGAGCTTTGTAAATTACAAGGTGCTATTCATCTGTCATTGAAGGATGTTGTTCTTAACACCCAAATGGAGCACAGGACGTAAATATGTTTTTACGGGGAGAAAGAGGAGGCAGGCCCAGGTTTGGTCATAGTTGGGGCAGCCATGGGGGGATGGTGGCAAGGGGACAAGTTGTGCAAAGGCTAGAGAGGACTGTGAATATGCAGAAGGACTTAGGGAGGGTGAGCTAGGAAGGCAAAAAGCCATCAACCAAAGATGGGGACATAGAGAGTGCAAGGAGCCACTGGAAGGCAAAACATCCCATACCTTTAGGTCTCTGCAGAGGCTGTTCCCTTCCCTACCTCTAAAGAGGTAGAGGAAGAGCCCCACTTCCTTTGGGAAGACAAATTCCCAAAAAATAAGCTTCCCCCATCCCTAGGCCTTTTTAGCACTTTGTACATTTCATCACTCCTCCGCCTGCCATTTTCTAGGTGGTTCTTTGTTCATCTCTGTCTCTTATGAGATGATAAGTTTGATGTGTATGCTTTTTCTCTATAATTCCTGAGCCAAGTGCAGGTCTGGTATGGGGTAGGTGCTTGAGGAGTATTTGATGACTAGAAATGAACTTTCAGTCTTATCTTCACCATATCATTTACTCTAAACATTCTGGCCTTGTCATTGCTGTTGTGTGAAGTCAGGGACCCTTAACAGAGGGACCAGCTGAAGCCATGGCAGAAGAACATAAATTGTGAAGATTTCATGGACATTTATTCGTTCCCCAAATTAATACTTTTATAATTTCTTACGCCTGTCTTTACTGCAATCTCTGACCATAAATTGTGAAGATTTCATGGACATTTATCACTTCTCTGATCAATATTCTTGTGATTTCCTATGCCTGTCTTTACTTTAATCTCTTAATCCCATCATCTTCTTAAGCTGAGGATGTATGTTGCCTCAGGACCCTGTGATGATTGCGTTAACTGCACAAATTGTTTAGGCCCCAGATATCGGGGGAACCCGCCCCTAATAATTCAATGTGAGTCCTTTTCTGCTTTCCCTAAGTGTCAGCTGGTCTGAGAAATAAAGGAAAAGAGTACAAAAGAGAGAAATTTTAAAGCTGGGTGTCCGAGGAAGACATCATGTTGGCAGGTTCCGTGATGCCCCCCAAGCCACAAAACCAACAAGTGTTTATTAGTGATTTTCAAAAGGGGAGAGAGTGTACGAATAGGGTGTGGGTCAAAGAGATCACATGCTTCAGAAGGTAATAAAATATCACAAGGCAAATGGAGGCAGGGCGAGATCACAGGACTGGGGCAAAATTAAAATTGCTAATGAAGTTTCGGGCACACATTGTCATTGATAACATCTTATCAGGAGACAGAGTTTGAGAGCAGACAATCAGTCTGACCAAAATTTATTAGGCGAGAATTTCCTCATCCTAATAGGCCTGGGAGTGCTCCCGGGAGACCAGGGCTTATTTCATCCCTTATCTACAACCGTAAAAGACAGACGTTCCCAGAGCGGTCATTTTAGAGACCTACCCCTAGGAATGCATTCTCTTTCTCAGGGATGTTCCTTGCTGAGAAAAAGAATTCAGCGATATGTCTCCTATTTGCTTTTGAAAGAAGAGAAATATGGCTCTGTTCCGCCCAGCTAGCAGGCAGCCAGACCTAATGGTTATCTCCCTTGTTCCCTGAACATCACTGTTATCCTGTTCTTTTTTCAAGGTGCCCAGATTTCATATTGTTTAAACAATTTGTACAGTTAATGCAATTATCACAGGGTCCTGAGGTGACATACATCTTCAGCTTATGAAGATGACAGGATTAAGAGATTAAAGTAAAGACAGGCATAGGAAATCACAAGAATATTGATTGGGGAAGTGGTAAATGTCCATGAAATCTTCACAATTTATGGTCAGAGATTGCAGTAAAGACAGGCGTAAGAAATTATAAAAGCATTAATTTGGGGAACTAATAAATGTCCATGAAATGTTCACAATTTATGTTCTTCTGCCTTGGCTTCAGCTGGTCCCTCCATTCAGGGTCCCTGACTTCCTGCAACACGTTGCCTTGGAATGTGTCTTGTTAGGTCCTGCTTCTGGCTGTTCTCTACTCTATTCCCCAACGTGGAATACCCTCTCTCCCCTTTCTATTTCATCAATCAAAATTCCATATGTCTATTAAAGCCAAGTTCAAGTGCCACTTCCTCTCTGAAGCTTTCTTGGGACATGCCTGCCAGCTACAAAATACTTGCCAGATTTTGTAGGAGAGGAACTTCTGCTTGGGTCTAACTTTTCTTCAGTGTGAAGGGGTCAAAGTGGGTAATTTTGGGGGCTTTCTCAGTTCTACCACAACTCAGTAACACTCATGAATTATTTAGAATTTAATCTATGCTAGGCCCTGCACCATGCACTAAGGATACAGAAGTAAGTAAGACTGAGGACACTGAAGCTAGCAGAGAAGCCAGACATGCATAGAAGCTATGACAATACACCACAGGACACACCATGCTAGAGGTATGTACGAAACACAGTTAGGAGCTCAGCAGAGAGGAAGCAGCTCTGTCTCAGGTGGAGCATACAGACAAGGAAACAGAAGGTGTGATATTTGAACTGAGTTTTGAATGATAATTAGGAGCTCACCATCTACAAGCAGAAAGGGAGCTCATTCCAGCAAGAGGAAAAAGGATGTACAGAGACATGAAGGCAAGAAAACAGCTAACTTGTTTGGGCTGAAGCATAAGGCACAAGGTGATAGAAATCAGGTGGGATAGACAGGGTGCTCATGGGGGTGGAGGGGTGTAGAAAGTAGGAAATGAAGTTTAAAATGTAGGCCAAGGTCTTGAATAGCAAGAAGAGTTGAAATATTACCCTAAAGGTAATGGGGAGCCATGGAAGGTTTTTGAGAGAAGGCATAACCTGATACATAGTTGAGTACTTATACACTTTTCAGTATTGTTTGTTATCTTTACATTTATACTTGCCTTTATCCTCCACAAATCTGAGCTCACAATGGGCAGGGACTATTTATAATCCTCTAGCAGTTGGCACAAGGACTGGCACATAGTGGGCTCCAGTGTGTTGAGGAGCTGATAAGCCCCCTTACACACACACAGCCATCATAACCTCTCCCTGGAGCCAGCCCCTCCAGCCTGTGAATAAGCCTGAGTCCATCTCTTGCTCAGAGACCACAATCATGCTCTGTTTACCTACAGAAGCACATCTGCCCTGTTCCTTCTTCCTGTCTGATTTTATCCCCTTTGCTGGAGCATTTGGGGCTTACGACTGTACCACTGTGTGCTAAACAAAATGTGGGGCCTCAGCTTTGGTCATCAATGCCATGCCCCCGAGCCTGAGCTCTTGTGCCCACATTGCTGCCCCTCCCGAGGGACCCTATCTGAAGGGTGGCCCAGTATCCAATGATGCTGGCAGGTTTCCACCAGCGTGTGAGCAGAAAGTGACATATTGTAATTATCCATGGAGATGGGAGAAAACAAAGATTAATTTTGAGTCAAAACATGTAATTTTCCTTTAAAGCCAGAACTGCTCTTTCACTTAAGCTATTTGATGCTTGGGTGGAAAATAATACAAAAAAGGGGAAGCATTTAAAACCCAAATTAGAGCTCAGAGTCTTGTACCCTCCTGGGAATTCATTTTTAAAGGATTACTGACCAATCTAGAGCTAAGTGGTACTCACGGTTTGATGAGGCAGAGGTGTGTGCATAGGGAGGAGGTTATTAATTTTTTTCTTAATTTAAGGGTGGGTGCATTTAGCTCAAGTCCTCAAAACTCTGAACTCATGAGGAAGGAGCTCTCTAGATCTTTTCTGAAGAGGGCTCCAAAGCTCAAGGCAAGGAAGTGCCATGAACAGTTAAAGTCTGGGCCCTGAGATCTCCCCTGTGTCCTTTAGATCTGTGTCAGGGTTCCATCCTCTCCCATCTCCAGGAACTCTTCACTGGTAGACACTGAATACACTGCACTGCAGGGTGAGGGCCTGTGCTCCAGTCCTGGCTCTGACCACATGACTTTGACCAGCTCCTTCTGCTCCCTAAGTCCCCATGTTCTCATCTGTATCATAAAGAGAGACTAGAGGATCACTAAGGTCTCCCTGAGTGTCAGCACCATTTCATTGGTATATGACAATGCAACATGCAAGAAAAAAATGATTAAGGATGAAGATAATTTTATTTAGGCAGAGGACCTGAAAGAGACAATCCCCAAATTAACTTGTAAATGAGATTCTAAGAATTCTTTTGAGTTTCATAAAGCTTCAGATGTTTAAGAACTTTAAACAATCAAGAATGACTTCTAAGAATGAACTGAGCATCTTCCTCTAGAGGTGAACTCCTCAGAGGTAGGGGTCATGCTTTAATCAGCCACTCATCCCAGCACTTCTTTCCTGTCAGGGGCCTGGTATAAAGTGTTGCTTTTCCTGAGTGAATGAATGAATGAATGTATACATGCATGTATGCACAATGCAGGACAGGCACTTCAGGGGCACAAGTAATAGACGTGATTCTCCTGCAAGAGTTTCTAATATGCCATGCACAATGGGGGCGGGGGCACAAAGACCCCAGATGATTTAGAAACAATCTGAGACAGGGTATCAGAAGGTCTTGTCATGAAGATGCTATGACATGGGGCTCAGAGATGTATGACTCATAGCATTGTGGAACATAGGCCCTGAGACATCACCCAACCAAACAAGTCAAAGGACTTGCCCTAGGTCTTGATGAGCTGGTTGGAAATCTGGGACTGGAGGACATGAAAACATTCATTGAGCATCTACCAGCTGCTGGGCACTGTGCTAAGCTTGTATCCATTCTACAAAACCATATTTAGATATCATTGTTATTTAGCCCATTCATAGGTAAGCAGAGAAAAGCTTCAAGAGGCCAAGAAACTTGCCTAAGATCCTATAACTCACATGAGTCTGAGACAGAATTTGAACCCATGCTGACAAACTTCTACTTGAGGTGAACCTTAGCTATACTTCAATTTGGCTTTCAAATAATAAAAGCCTAGGAGCAAACCCTGGCTCTCCCAAAAACTCTTTGTCCTCGGGCATCTCACATCTTCTCATCGTCTTTCTGAGTCTCCTTTTCCTTATTTGTAAGATGGGGAATATAATGTCTATGAGGAATAAATAATACAATGTACACAAAGTACTCTGTACAATAAGTAAAGTGATTTATATTGTTTTTATTAATAACAGGGTATGGAGGAAGGTGCATCAGTGCAAAGGCCCTGAGGCATCCACATACATGAGCAAGGTCATGGCAAAGGTCAGTGGAAAGAATGGTCTGGCAGGAGCCAGGAGTTGGGCATTGTCATGTCCTTCAAGTAGGAGGGACCACTGAGGGAGTGGGAGGTGAGTCTAAGAGATGGGGCAGGGCCAACACATTCCAGATGCCATGTGATGTCACTGTCCTTATGCTAGTTGGGTTCACAGCCAGTGGTCATGGAAGTGCCCAGTGCTTCAGGCTCTGGCCAAGTCCTCAGACAGGATGGAGGCTCACCTCCTGACCTTCTCTCCTCAATGGCCCTGCAAGTTGGCCCCAGAAGAGGACCCAAGGTAGAACTTCTCAAGGGTGTGTCCTCTCCAGCCCAAACCTTTACATCTTGAGGGAAGGAGACTATCATGTACTGACAGCACTGTGCTGGGTGCTTTAACACATATCTCATAATAATCATGTATGTGAGGACTGCTGTCCTCACTTTATAGACGAGGAAACTGAAGGATCGGAGAAATTCATATAGGAACCTCAGAGGATGAGGTATCAGGAGAGGTAGTGCATAGAAACACCCAAATTAATTTAGAACAATGACTGAACCCAGCTCCCAGCAAGCCCCATCCCTGTGGATTCCCAAGTTAGAACCAGGAATGTGACCTTGCCCTCACTGTCTGACTTCTTAATGATACTTTCTTTATGCTCAGGAAATATGCTCTTATGCCCCAAAATCTATGTGGCAGGGCCAGGATTATCTTTCTTGCTGCACAGATGGGATGCTGAGTTTCAGCAAGAGGCTAAGGGAAGTTGCCCCTGAATACAGCCAGTGGAGCAGAACTCAAGCCCAAACCTCTCTGCTCTGCCACTTACCGTAGTCTCGGCATGGGAATTGCCACCTTTTCAACCATGGGGTTCAGCCGATAATAGTCCAAAAAGGTTCTTGCCACGTTCCGCCCCAGCTTCATATCTGCAGGTGTGTGTGTTAAGGAGCAACTTTGAAAAGAGATTGAGACAGAGTGAAAAGAGGACTACTAATAAAAATAATAACAGTAATAAAAACAGTTACACCACTCATTGTTCTAAGCTTTTTGTATGTGCTCTCTTTTTTGATCCTTGAAAAACCTTAAATGGTAATCACTATTATTATCCTAATTTTATAGATAAGAAAACTGAGGTGCATCGCAGTGAAGTAATTTGCCTAAGGTCACAAAACTGGGAAAAGAAGGAGCCAGGATATGAGTCTAGGGAGTCTTACCCCAAAGCCTGTGCTAGTAGCTTTCAGGGTACAGCCCTTTGGAAATCACTGGGCTGCTCTGGTCTAGCCTCAGGTGGCTCAGGATGGAGCCAGGTAAGCAAAAACCCCAAGGGCAAGAGACATTGGTTGTATATAGACCAGTGCCTGCTTGACCCTTAGGGCTCAGTCATCCACTTTAGTAACCTCAGGCACAATGGTAAAACCCTGTGACCCTAAATCATGTTCCCACTGCACCTTGAAATTCCTCCAACAATGAATCTTTCTGGTAACGATTTGTGATTGTAAAAGCACAAACTTCTTGGGGAAGGGTCAATTTCATATTGACCATTAACACCTTAATATGAATGAGTACAACAATCATTATTCAACAACAGAATATCTTCTTTGTGCATTATAGCTCACATCTCTGGGCTTCATACATGTTATTTCCTCCGCTGAAGTTCCTCCCTACCCGCTCCTGCCTTCTCCTCAGCTAATTCATACCCCTTGCTTCTCTAATGAGGTGATATTTCTTTATTAGAGCCCTCCAGGATATTCTTCTCTCTTCCCAGAACTGTGATTGGTGCCCTTGTCCCACATTTTCATGACTCCTGAGCTGGCTTCATTCAAAGCACTTATCACTTATCTCACAGCATGGGAATTATGTGTTTACTCAGCTTAATCCTTAGCCATTCCTTCTCCCTAATCTCTTAGCTCTGAACATCCAAGCTGTCACTAACCCTTCTCCAAGACACCTACCATCTCTTGAATGTTTTCACTTCTTTCCACCCCCCTAGAATAGGCCAGCATCATCTTTCTCCTAGATTGCTGCCATCCTGTCCTAACTAGTTTCCCTGCCACAGAATTGCCCCCGTCTGGTCCATTTTCTACAGTGCAGCCAGAGGGATTCTGCAATGCAGCTCTGAGTATGTCACTCAGCTGAGTAAAACCCTTCAGCGGTTCTCAGTTGCCTTCAAAGTCCAAATCTCTGAGCATGATTTACAGTACTGTTCATAGTCAGGTCCCTGATTATTTTCTCAACATTATGCTTGCTACCTCCCACCTACTCCCCTTGCCCTTCACATTCTGGAAACACTGAGCTTCTTCTGCCTCCAGGCCTGTGCCCCATACGTGCCATCTTTCCAGACCACTCTTCCTCCCTTCACATGCCTTCCAGGGCCCACTCCTTCTCAGCTTCAAGAACTCAATTCAGTTGTCACTCTACTGGATAAGTCTTCCTTGGCTGTCCTTGCTGGGACAGGAGTCTCTCCTAGGTTTTCCCACAACCTCTTTCCTAGCCTGCACCAACCAGAGCACTAATCATACTGTATTTTACCTGTCTCCTCTTTTCAATAGCCCCTTTTAGCAGGCAAGCTCTATGAGGCAGAGGTCATATCTGTCTTATTCATCACCTAAATACCCATGTACTCATCTGACAATAAGTATGAAATATATATTTGTTGAATTAACAAATCATAGCTGGCTGGGTGCGGTGGCTCATGCCTGTAATCTCAGCACTTTGGGAGGCTGAAGTGGGTGGATCACCTGAGGTAAGGAGTTTGAGACCAGCCTGACCAACATGGCGAAACCCCATCTCTACTAAATACAAAATTAGCTGGGTGTGGTGGCGCATGCCTGTAATTCCAGCTACTGGGGAGGCTGAGGCAGGAGACTCGCTTGAACCTAAGAGGCGGAGGTTGCAGTGAGCCAAGATCACACCTTTGCACTCCAGCCTGGGCAACAAGAGTGAAACTCCATCTCCAAAAACAATAAAACAAATAAATAAATAAATAATAGCTAATATTCTTATAATGTTTAATATGTGCTAGGCAATCTTTTTTTAAAATATACTTTAAGTTCTGGGATACGCATGCAGAACGTGCAAGTTTGTTACATAGGTATACATGTGCCATGGTGGTTTGCTGTGCCCATCAACCCATCATCTACATTAGGTATTTCTCCTAATGCTATCCTTCCCCAGCCCCCAACCCCCTGTCTGGCCGCGGTGTGTGTTGCTCCCCTCCCTGTGTCCATGTGTTCTCATTGTTCAACTCCCACTTATGAGTGAGAACATGTGGTGTTTGGTTTTCTGTCCCTGTGTTAGTTTGCTGAGAATGATGGTTCCAGTTTCATCCATGTCCCTGCAAAGGACATTAACTCATTCTTTCTTATGGCTGCATAATATTCCATGGTGTATATGTGCCACATTTTCTTTATCCAGTCTATCATTGATGGGCATTTGGGATGGTTCCAAGTCTTTTCTATTGTGAATAGTGCTACAATAAACATACGTGTGTGTGTCTTTATAGTAGAATGATTTATAGTCCTTTGGGTATATACCCAGTAATACAATTGCTGGATCAAATGGTATTTCTAGTTCTAGATCCTTGAGGAATTGCCCCACTGTCTTCCACAATGGTTGTAATTTACACTCCCACCAACAGTGTAAAAGTGCTCCTATTTATTCACATCCTCTCCACTATCTATTGTTTCCTGACTTTTTAACGACTGCCATTCTAACTGGTGTGAGATGGCATCTCATTGTGGTTTCGATTTGTGTTTCTCTAATGACCAGTGATGATGAGCTTTTTTTCATATGTTTGTTGGCCGCATAAATTTCTTCTTTTGACAAGTGTCTGTTCATATCCTTTGCTCACTTTTTGATGGGGTTGTTTGTTTTTTTTTCTTGTAAATTTGTTTAAGTTCCTTGTAGATTCTGGATATTAGCCCTTTGTCAGATGGAGAGATTGCAAAAATGTTCTTCCATTCTGTAGGTTGTCTGTTCACTCTGATGATAGTTTCTTTTGCTCTGCAGAAGCTCTTTAGTTCAATTGGATCCCATTTGTCAATTTTGGCTTTTGTTGCCATTGCTTTTGGTGTTTCAGTCATGAAGTCTTTGGTGCTGCGCAATCTTTTAAGTGCCTTATGTATACTGACTCATTCAATTCTCACAATAACCCAATGAATTAGGTATATTATTCCCACTGTTCAGAGAAGATAAGTGATTTCCCAAAATGTTGGGCACCTAATGAAGAGCTGGGATTGAAAGTGAGTACCCTGGCTGCATGTGTTTATCTTCCTTCCCAAACTACCTCTCCAGCACCTGCACCATTCCATATTCACTTCTGTGTCTCTCTTGCCTAACACATGGTAGGGTACCCTCCACCTACTGAGAAACAAGACTTACATCCCTGACTCAGGAATAGGTGAGGGGGGCATGCAGGGTAATATGTAGAGGAGGAGGAACCTGAGGTTGGTCCTAGGGGATCAGTGGAGAAGGACCATTTTCAGCTGGTCTATAAAGGCAGGACAACTGAAGGGGCATTTCGGGGAGAAAACACAGAGTGAGCAACAGTGCAGAAATGATTTACCATGCATCCATCTATCCATCCATCCATCCAACAAGCATATTTGGAAGCCTCCAGTGTGTCAGGGCTTGTGTGAGAGGAGTGTTTGGTGGGAGGGGTCTTGGTAGGTCACAGTGGAAAGGACAAAGTGGAGTGGGAAGAAAATATGCAGTTGCTTGCATTTGCAGGACTGTTGGGCAGTTGCCACAGGCCTTCCTTCAGTGCTGTCTGGGGCTGGGCCAGGTCTTCTGGGCCATTACTCCATCCAGGACCATGGTGATAGACAAGTGTTTGAGAAATAGGCAAGTGAGTTCTCAGTGAGTTCTTCTTCTTCAAGAAGTCCCCAAGCTGGGGTTGGACATGGCCTAGAACATGAAACCTAGCGTTTACAGAGCACCTACTATGTGCCAGGCACTGCACTGGCTGCTTTGCCTAAAAGTGCATTTTAATTTTCAAAACAATCCAGTAATGAAGGCTATTTTATCTCTTTTTTGCTATGGGAGGTTAAGGAATTTGTCCAAGGCCACATAACTGGTAATGGCACTGTCAGTACTCAAACCCAGGCAGGTCTGACTCCAGAACCATGAGCTTTCCACTATCCTGGCCCATTTCCTGATTTGAAGGCACCTTTTCTGTCAAAGCCTGAGTCATCCCCGGCCAGTGCCTGATGGGAGAAGGAAAAACACCAGACAAGCTGTTTATGACAGTGAAATGTACTGCAGGCTTGCTGGGCTCTGGGGCTGCCACCTGCTTTCTTCCTCTGGATGTGACTGACCTTCTCTGTCCTCTTGTTTAAAAAGTTCACAAGCTGGCATTGGGCATGACCTCTCTGAGCAGCAGACTCTGGAGGACGTCTCAACCAACTTTGACCCAGCCAGTCTCCAGCTGGCTGGAGGAAACCAAATCGTGGTTGTGTGCACCAGCAGTAAGAGTTACAGGGCACAGAGGAAAGCAGAGGTTCCTGTGGATTGAGCTAAAAGATTGCAGCAAACGTTTTTGAAGCAAATGTATTTAATCCAAATCCTGGCTCTGCCACATGCTGTGTATGGCAGATTGTATTTTCCAAAGATGTCTGCAACAATATCTCCAATCTCCCATGTTATTATAGTACATGACCTTGCCACTCCTTCCTCTGAGTAGTATACCCTTCCCTTGAATTTGAATGGGCTCGGTACTTGTTTGTAACCAAAAAAATGGCAGAAGTGAGAGAAGTGAAATAGTGGGATTTCTGAGGCGAGGCCAGAAAAGGTGAAGTAACTTGTCCTTGCTTGCTGAAATTCTCAAGCTGGAGTCCTGAGCCTCCATGTGAGCAGTCTGACTGCCCTGAGATCCTGAGACTATAGAAAGAGAGAGGAGAGAGATTCCTAGCCAGCCTACAGCTCCTCCAGCACTCTACTGTTCCATCTCCAGCCATTGTCTGACAGCAACACACCACTCTCTAAGCTAGAACCAACCAGCTGAGGCCTCCTCAAATTTCTGACCCACAGAGAACGTAGGAAAATAGCTATTGTTTTAAGCCACTAAGTTTTGGGGAGATTGTCTAATGTAGAACTAGAGAACTAGAACACTGTGTGACCTTGCATGAGCCATTTCATTTTCCTGAGTTGCGGTTTCCTGCTCACAGTGTTGTTGGGATGAAGAGTGTGACTGCATCTAGTTGATGAATAACATAGGGGTTGGATGAATGAATGAATGAATGAGGAAAAGAGAAACCTGATCCCTTTCTCACACTGAGAGCCAGACTTAAAGCAACTATAGGAGGTAGCTTTGTAAATCAATCCTCTTGAACTCTGCTAGGGAAAGGGGATGGGCTGTTCCAGCAAAATGTGCCACTGTAAGGTATTGATCATTTTGGACAGGATCTGTTTAGAAGCCAGTGTTTTAAAGATGGGCATTGTCTGGGACAACTCTCTTCCCTTCCCCCTCCAACCCTATTACATATTCCCTAACCCTGAAAGTCTCACTCTAGATTATTTACTGCAATGGTCCTGTTTGAGTCAAGAAATAGGACATGGGCAGGAGGAGAGGAGGGATTGATTGAACATTTTCAATTAAAACAAGCTGTCTTTGAACAAAGATTTAAAATCCAGGCAAGAAAGGCAATAATTCTCTTGGCTGGAATGCTTTCCACTGTATTGTAGAATTAAGAGATAGAAAATTGGGTGTGAAAACTCCCAACTATTCATTATAAACAGAAATCTCAAGATGGTCTGTGAGTTAAAAATCTCATCATTTTCTGGTTCCTATGTAGGTCATTGATCTCTTTCTCAAAAATGGCAGGGTATAGCCAGCCACATGGGGAAGATGGAATCAAGACACTTAAAGCAATAAACCAGGAGAATTCAGCTGGGATTGTCCAAAACTTGGACTGATTCTGTGACTTTCATACAGAGCTCTTTTGAAAAAAAGGGCAGGTGTAAGTATCCCCAGCCTCCTATTTAATGGGGACCTTCAACAGGTAATGAAGGTTTGAACATTTACTGTTCATTCTCATTCATTCACTCATTCCTTCACGCATCCATTCAAATGTTTGTTGGGCTCCTCCCATGTATATACTGCTATGAAGAGGACAGGGATTGGGGTTAAAGGAAAATTAAACAAATATACTTTATAGCCTAGAGAAGGAAACGGACATGTTCCAGTTAACTATATTACCTGAGAGGCTGTTGCACTGTCATCTTCAGAAAAGCAGGAACTATTTTTTTTTTAAAGTTTACTCCACAATGCATATAGTGTAGTTACTATCACCAATCCTTACCAAAGCCCTGCAAAGTCAAAGTACAATTCTACATATATTTCACAGATGAGGACATTGAAAACAAGAGAGTTTGCATAACTAATTCAGTCTCATGGCATGAATGTAACAAAGGTAGCATATGAACTTCAGTGTCTTCTAACAGTGTGCATATGTTGTTTCCCTTCTTGAGTGTAATCATAAATTCGAACACAAAATTCTGTGGATGTGTGGAAGGAGACTGAATTCCAAATGGAGGAATTATAAAAAGCTTCATGGAGGTGCACATACAACAAAGATTTGAAGGACAAAGACAGGTCTTAAAGTGGGAGGAAGAGAAAGACAAGTATCAGCAGAGAAACAGAGTGTGGCCAGGCACATGACATGAAATAACACAGAAAAGTGTCCGAGGGCCCATGTAGCTAAATGTGTAGAGTGGAATGTGATGCTGAAATATTAGGCTAGAGACAAGTGAGTGAAGGCTTTGAATGTCAAGTTAAGACACTTAAACTTCTATTCTGTAGGCAATAAAAGCCAATGAACATATATGGGTTGTATTTGTCACTCATTTAGTCAATGTATATTTACTGATCATCTACTATGTTTATTATGTTCAGGCTTTTTGGAAGGCTCAGGGTATACTATGGTTAAAATCAAAGAAGACAAAACCAAGACAGTGGTTCTTAAGTCTAGAAGCAGAGATAAATAGCGAGGTAGTAAAACAAACAAACCAATAAAACCACACACACATATTGCACTTAATATAGTACTATGAAGAAAATGCACAGAGTCCTGTACCTGCAGATAATGCAGGCATGGGAAGGCCTCTCTGAGGAAGAGATATGAACTGGGAGTGAACAGTGACTGCAGCAGTACCTATGAAGAGGGAAGGGTGTCTGGGAAGGGTCCTCAGCTGAGAGACAGAAACTGGAAGAGGGCTGGCGGAGGGTGATGGGCAAGGGCTAGATCACCAAGACCTCTGGGCCACCTTAAGGAGTCTGGACTTTCTTGGTGAATGGGAAGCTACTGAAGAGTTTGAAGCAGGAAAGTGACACCGTCTTATTTTTATTTCCAAAGGTCACTGCTGCACTAAAAGAGAAGGCAAGAGTGGAAGCAGGCAGAGTAGCCAGGGACGACTGCCATGGTCCAGGAGAGGACAAGGGAGACCCCGGCTGTTCAGAGGCAGTAGAGATGGGAAGACATATTTGTGGGAAGAGCCAACAGGACCTGCTGCCAGGTTGGATGTGGGGCCCAAAGGAAAGGAAGAAGTGAAGGATGACTCCTTCATCTTTGGCTTTAGCAGCTGGGTCAGTGGGGTGCCCTGATCTGGCATTTGAAAGAATGAGGCAGTAAGAGCTTCAGGGGAGAGAGTAGGAGGTCAGTTCGGAGCATGTTGGGTTTGAGCTACAAGACATTAAGTATCCAGGTTCTGAATCAGAAATGGGAAAAAAAATCAGAAAATGGGAATTGTTTCCGAATTTTCAGCTCTTTGGGATTATTCATGCTACAAATTCTTGCTGACTGTGCAGTGTGTTCCATTCTGCTCAGCTCTCCACCTCTTCTTCTCTGCTCTCAGGGTGTCCCAAGGGCTTTAGGAGAATGGCAACAACTGAAGGATCCTCTGTTCTCCTGTCTCAGGGCCTCAGATCTGGGGCCTTGAGTGTGCACACAAGTGGGAATCAAGAGACCAACATGGTTTTCATCATTAACTAGCCATGTGACCTTGGGCCATTTCCCTTCACTGGGCCTAATTTCTCTGTGGGTAGATGTGGTCTCTCGAGTCCTTTTTCAGTTAACATGGTATATTCAAGCAAAGCCTTCAATACAATAAGCTTATGAGAAATCCCATCCTCATTCTTTCATTCACAAATATATATGGAGAACTGACCATGTGCCGTTATTTTAGACACTTGACATATACAGTGAACAAAACTGACAAAGACCTCTGTCTTTATGGAGTTTAAATTCTAGCTATGGAAAACAAGCTGTAGACCTAATAATACATGTGTAAATTATATAGAATGCTGGAACGTGGTAAGTGCTATGGAGTAAAGATAAAGAATAGGGTAAGGGGAGGGCTGGGGACAAGGAGAAGATCACAGCATTAAGTAGAGTTCTCAGAGAGGCCTCCTTGAGAAGGTGGGGTGGGGATGGGCTTGGGGAGGTGAAGGCGCTGGCCAACATCAAAGCGGAGTTAATCCTCCTCATCTGAAACACAGCCCTGACCAGTCATTTCACAATTAGACTCTTGCTAAATCCAACCCAATCCCAAACTGGGGATAATAATCAACCTCAGGGATGAGTCCTCCCTCGTGGGGTCAGGAACACCTCTTTCGTAGCAATGGCTGTTTTCTGTCTGCAGGTCCAGGTCCTCTTCGCCTCCCAGAGCAGCTTCGGCGGAGACAAGTCTCACACACATCCTCTCGTCTGGCTTGTGGCCTCCCTTCCCTGCCCTGCTCCTCCCCTGTGGACTCATCTCTGAAGCCTTCTTCATACTTCTCACTCCCTGCAACTCTTCTAGAACCCTCAGCAAGTTCAGCTGTCCTAACTGCACTAAAGGGTGCTGAGCTCTGCCCCGCTCCTCAGACATAATATCCCACTTCTCCTTTCCCCTACTTGTGGGCCATGGCAGCTCTGGTTACCATCCCTATTTTGCAGATAAAAAATCAGAAGTCACTTGTCTGATGAGTCACATCAAGTATTGGTGCAAGGAGGATTGAAACCCATTTGTTCATTTATATATTCATATTAAGTGGTTTCTATGTGCCAGACACTGTTCTAGGAGCTAGGATACAACAAAGAGAAAACAGACATATCTCTGTCCTCATAAAGGTCTTTTCTTGCCATTATCCTGCTTCCAAATAAGAAAATTGAACTCCTACCTGCTCCCTGTTTGGAAACTCCCACCTAGAATTCATTTTCTGCTCATACTCCTGCCCCTCCCAGCAACAGATGATCACCATTAAAGGGGGAAGATTAATTGTGCAGAGGGATAGACCAAGGAAAAGTGATTTCTCTTTGGTAAGGCTGACAGCGCTGCTAGAATATTAAAAGGCACCTGCCTAGGAGCCTCTAGGTAAAGCCAGAAGAAAAATGTGACAATGAAATATCTTTTGTCTTTGCCTTCCTACCAATCCTCCCACAGTGTCGGACAAGTGCATGACTAAACAGATGAATCCTTCTCTGAAGTGCAGTGTGGAGGCTGCCGATGGAATTGCAGAGTCCTTTCCCGTTGCAGGCAAGTCCAGGGGCACCCCCTAGGTACGAAGACCTGTAAAGGAGAGGAGAGGGAGAGAGGAAAGGGAGATGGAGAAAGAGAGAAAGCGAGAAAGAGAGAGAGATGGATTAGAGAGTCAGGGATAGACAGCAGGAGAGAGGAAGAGACCAAAAGGCCGCAGAGGCAGAGACCAGAAGCGAGAGAGATGCAAACCAACAGAAAAATACAGAGAAACTGGTCAGGATGAAGCAAGAAGATAAGGAGAGAAGGATAATTAGAGAGGCTGAGAGAGACTCAGGCTTGAAAACTGAGAAGAAATGGGGTGGGGGCAGAGAGAGAAAAGTGGAGCAAATGACAGAAAAGGAAAGAATCAAACTGAAAGGGGCGTGAGAGAGATACAAATGTAGGCAATAGGAGAAGGGAGGGAGAGGGGAAAGAAAGGCAAAAGATGAGATAGAAAGAGACAAAAGGAAAAACATGAAGAGAATCACAGCCGCAGACGACAGACTGTAAATGCGATGTGTAAGACTGAAATAGCGACAGGAACAGTGAGAGACTGAGAAGGACTGAGAGAAGAAGGTGGAGAGACACAGACAGGGACGGGAAGTGAGGCCTCTTTTTTGACGGGCGAAATGCAATTCCACAGAGTAGGTATTTCCTGAGAGGCTCACTTCACGGAGGAGGCTGGAGATGAATGCTTACACGGAAATCGTGGGAAGAGTGTCCAATTCATCACAGAATGAATTAAAGTTTGGGGTAAGTATAGGGCTCGAAATTAGTTTTCCATTGCCACTGTAACAAATCACCACACATTTAGTGGCTTAAAACAACAGACATTTATTCTCTCAATTCTGGAGGCCAGAAGTCAGAAATCAGTTTCACTGGGGCCAAACTCTAGGTGTCACAGGCCTGCATTCCCTCCACAGGCTCTGGGGAGAAAACAGAGAAATAGTTGGTTTCTGGTGGCTGCTGGCATTCCTTGCTTGTGATCACATCATTTCATCTCTGCCCCCATGGTCACATTGCCTCCTCCCTCTTCAGTGTATGTCAGATCTCCCTCTGCCTCTCTCTTCTAGGGGTACATGTGATCGTATTTAGGACCTACCCAGATGATCCAGGATAGTCTCAACCTTCCATCTGAACAGTCTTAACCACAACATTTACAAAGACCTTGTTTCCATATAAGGTATTATTGATAGGTTCTAGGGATCAGGAACTGAATGTCTTTGGGGTCATTATTCAGCCTATTCCACACTGCCTGAGAGTTCATCGGCTTAGCTAAGAGCTGGCATATGAAGCGTCCTGGCATACCCAGGACAAAGGTGCTGGGTGTCAGGGGTGGAATTCTGGCTCTGTGTGAGACACCTTGCTGGGTGCCCCACCAACTCCACCCCACCTGACCTACACAAGCATCAAGTGGATTTACCAGGACTCAGACCCAGATATGTCTAATTTCAGAGTGCTTTTTGCTGGCATTATTTGCTGCCTCTCAAGGGCAATGTTGCCTGCTTTACCTCTTAAACATAGTAAATCTGCTCCTCCCCTTCCTCCACTGCTATTGCATTGTTCGGATCCTTGTCTCTTATCTGAACTATTGCTTTAGTGTCCTAATTGGTCTTCTGGCTTCTGGTTTCTCTCCATTATTGCTGAGAATGATGTTCTCACAATTGCTGACCTTGTCACTTCCTGACCTACAACCCTACACTGTCACCTCCAAGGTAAGATCTAAACTCTTAGATCTGGCTTTCATGGCCTTCCATAAGCTCCTCTAAGCCTTATCTCCTGACACTGTATTCCATTGTGCGTGTATTTAGAAGGCCAGGTTTAAAGTCCACAAAGCGTGGGTTTTAATCCTGGCTCCTACATGTTTAGCTGTGTGAACCTGGGCAGGCTATTTACTGTCTCTGAGCCTTAGTTTCCTCATCTCCACAATAGATAATGCTTCCTACCTCAGGATTATTGTATTGATTAAAAATTATATATCCAAGGTACCCAGTACAATGCTGGTATGCAGTAGCTTTTTTATTATCATTACTACATATGAAACTGTCATCTCCAACAAAGTATGAGCTCTTTAAGGACAAGAATGTGTCACGTTCACATTTGTTTCCAGAGTTATTTAGCACATTAGGCCTATGAACAAAGATAGGGAGAAAAAGCAAGACTAAAACAAATCAAGATGAGAGAGAGATAAAGAAAAGGACAGAAAGACAGAGGCAGGGAAAGATGAAGAAACTATTTGTAAAATTCTGTGTTTTCTGGATGTTCGGTATAACACCTTGTAGGTTTCTTCCACGCTGTGTGCTTCGGTTTCCTCTCCTGTAAAATTGGCGGGCAGTTTTACTCAATGATCTCTAGTTCTAATTCTCACTCTCTGCTCTAGCCTGGGAAAAGTGTTTCCCTGGAGCAGGGGATACCCTTTCTGACCAAGCCGATGAGAGGCAGCTTCATCAGGTGTCCAGTGCTGCCCACTACCCTAATGGGGTCTTTTGAGGAGAAGCCAGGTTAGAGGCTGGTGGGCTAGAACAGATGGAGAGCTGACCTCAGTTATAATGTGCCTGATTCTGGATGGGATAACCTTGGCGAGTATTTGGACTTTAGACCACATTAGGCAGGTTGCTGTTATTCATTTACTCATTCATTCATTCTTTATTTATTTTTCATTCATTCATTTATTTTTGAGACAGAGTCTTGCTCTGTCACATAGGCTGGAGTACAGAGGCGTGATCTTGGCTCACTGCAACCTCTGCCTTCTGCGTTCAAGTGATTCTCCTGCCTCAGCCTCCCCAGTAGCTGGGACTGCAGGTATGTGCCACCACACCTGGCTAATTTTTGTGTTTTTAGTAGAGACGAGGTTTCGCCATGCTGACCAGGCTGGTCTCAAACTCCTGACCTTGTGATCCGTACGCCTCAGTCTCCCAAAGTGCCAGGATAACAGGCATGAGCCAATGCTCATTCATTATTTATTACTCATTGATTCATTCAACAGATAAGTTATCAATCACCTCTTCTGTGCTGGGCCATGTAATAGGTATATAGAACATTCACACTGGCTATGTAGAGTAAACAAAACAGGGATGGCTGTGCTCTCAATCTGTTTATAGTCCAGGTACTATTGACATGTTTGGCTAAAAGATTCTGTGTTGTGGGGACAGTCCTGTGCATTGTAGGGTGTTTAGCAGCATCCCTGGTTTCTCCCAATAGATGTCAGCAGCATCCACCTCATTGTGACAACCAAGTGTGTCTTCAAACATTGCCAAACATTCCCTGGGGCAAATGTACCTGTGGGTGAGAACCACTGGTCTAGCGGTTGTACAGTATCTGGTGGAGATGCAGCAAGTGACATGAGAGAGGTGGGCCGGATCTTGACTGGGAAGGGTCTTGGCTTCCCTACTTGGAAACAAGTAATCCCTGAATGGATCCCTGGAGACAGGGAAGGGGAGAGGGATCCCACTCACAGGCTGCATTAATCTGGTAAACTGTTATCTAACCACCCTCCTCATTACTTTGGCAGGGAAGAGTGTCCTCCCTCCATTTCTAGCACACCTCAATACCCCAGATGCCTCTCCCTTCTCTACTTGCCCAAGACTGCTGGTATTTATAGCTTGTCTGTCTAACTCAGACCCACTTCTCACTCAAGAGGGAAATTAATCTCTCTCTCCAGATCCCACACTATCACTTGCCTCATGGCTTCCTCATTCACCTGCTCTTCCAATCCAGGCACCAGCAATTTCCCAGCTGTGCCTCCCTTTCTCCACTGACAGTTGACCATGGCTCTGAAAATTGGCTCTTGGAATCAGTTGTGCCTGCTGCCTGGGACTTTGATGCAGCTCAACCTGAGAGGGGGCTCTGCTTTTCTGAGAGATACTGAGCTCCTGCTTGTCTCACGTATATTTTTAGAAGCTTCAACTGGATGCACAGTTAAAAATGAGACTGAAGACCAAAGTAAATATTTGCATAGCAGGATCTTGGAGTGGCGGGGAAGAGAGTAGGAAGAGAGGAGTTCTGATGGGCCTGGCTTTAGGCCTCAGCTCTGTTTCTGAGTATTTCTGCACTTGCTTGGGGCAAGTCTCCTCTAGGTATCAGTTTTCCAATCTGTAAATTTGGAGGAGGGATTAGCTTGCGGATGAAATGTTTTGAAACATTTCAGCTCTGATGTTCTCTGAGCCTCTATATCAGAAGTGCCATTAAGGGGTTCCTGAACCCTCTGATACTACAGACAAACTGTGTAAATTTTCTGGGGAAAGTATTCATAATTTTCTATAATTTTCAGAAAAAATCAGCATCTTCTAAAATGTTAAGAATCTCTGCTCTAGGTCTATGGATAGAGATAATTGAGTTTATCACCACCTTCCTGGTAATATTCCTTCTTCTCATTTTCTGACCTGTTCCCTTGTTACAGTCTGACTCCTCTGGGATTAGTGAGAATCTGGCAGAGTGTGGGGGAGTAAAATCAAGTTAGACTTGAAATGGAATGAACAATATGAAGAATCTATCCTGAGTGCATCTGCACTAACTTAACCAAAAAACCTCAAAGAGTCTAGCGGCCCAAGTCTGCTGCAGGGGTCAAAGAACAGTTCAGCAAAGGTGATCCCTAGGAGCTGACTGCAAAGCTCAGCTGAAATCTGGGCCATTCTGTGGGTGAGAATTGGGGTTCAGTCTTTTTCTGGGAAGCATCAAATCCTGGGCTCAGAACTTAAAAGACCCACTATAGGGTTTGCTGGAGGGACAGAACGTGGGGTCCTCCACCTTTAAAAGAAGCCCACTCTCCTGCCCTTGTGTCTTCACCCCTGATTGGGCCTGAATCTGAAGCACTTACATGGATGAATGGAATGAGCAATGTCCTGTGAATCAAGAGACCTATATTTGAGCATCAGCTTTCACCAAATGCTGTATGCCTTGGGCAGCCTTGGGCAGGTCACTGACCCACTCCTGGGCTTCAATTTCTCCATTTAGACAATAAAGAGGAATTGGCTTGCTTCACAGTTTCACCAAAGAATGACTGTTATTATAGTGACACTCCATTATAATACCTCGTTATTGGCCATTTCCTTGCATTTATTCCTCATTTTGAGACATCCTTGTTATATTTCAAGCAAACCAGCAATGAATCCCATGCCTAGGAAGGGTGTGATGATAAACTTAAATCCCAGTCTTTAGGACCCTCCTGGCTCTAACATTTTATGATATATTTTTTTCTGCTCTGATGTTACTTTCTTTTTTAACTGTTGTTTTGAACTTAAAACTTAGGGAATGAAATTAATGTTGATGACCATGGACTGTTTTCCAGGCACTGTGCTAGTTTCATTTATTACAAGCAAGGTAGATTTTGGTATCCTTGTGTTATAGGTTAGAAAACTGAGGTTCAGAGATGTCACCTTTCTAATACCACTCAGTTAGCAAGCGGACAGTTAGGACTTAAACTCGGGTCTGTCCTACTACAAGGCCTGTGGCTTGAAAAATTATTTTTATGCTATAATTCTTTATTGTTTTAGCTTTCTTAAAATTAATTCATTTATTCAATATTTATTGAGTACCTGCTGTATAAGGTACTGTACTAGACGCTATGGGTTTAGAGATGAGAAATCAGTCTGTTCTTGAGCAGCCTTTAGAGAAGATACATAAATAAAAGTTGCAAGTTAGGGCAATGACACTATGGCAGAGGGAAATAAGGGAAGTCAGGGTGCAAAAAGTGGGATTTAGTATTGGAGACACCCTGGAAGCTTGTTAGAATAGGAAACACCTGAGCTGAATGGTGGGGGTAAGATTGTCTTTTTTTTTTTTTTTTTTTTTTACTGAGATAACTCTTCATTAAACAAGTTAGTCAACAATTAATTCAGAATCTATGATGTACCAGATACTTTTCTAGTTTCAGGAACACAATTGCGTACAATGACAAACTCTTGTGGAGCTCACAAGGGAAGAAAGGCAGTAAACCAACCAACAAATACAGTATAAGATTGAAATCCAGGTGACTTGGAGGAAAAGTAAGACTTGGCCAGGTAAAGTTGAATGGCATGAAACAGCATCCTGAATAAAGGCAGAGGCATGTGCAAGCATGCTGAGGCATGACGATCCCTTCAAAGATGTTTGTCATGGCTGGAATATCTTCTAAAAGATGAAGAAGGAAGTAAGAGAAAAATGCAAGCACAGATCATCATGAATGCCTTGTGTGATGTTATGAGTATGAACTTTCTTCTGCAGATAATGGGAAGTCAGGGGAGGGTTTTAAGAGACAGAGACACAATGCTCAAATTTGGTTCCAGGGTGATTTCTCCTGTGACCCTGGTGAGGGGGATTTGGAGGGTACCCAGACTACAGACAGGAGGAAACGTCCTGGTCCAGGGAGAATGGTGAGTGGGCCTGAGCTCAGGCACTATCAGGGGAGTTGTGAGAAGGACAAAGAATTGGAAATATTTGTCTAGTAAGAAAGATGATACTTGGGTGCTGGAAGAGGTGACTAGACTAGGAAAAGTATCAAGAACAGCATACCAGGTTCCTGCCTTGGAGAACTGTATGGTGGTGTCCCATCGACCTTGGGTAGGAAATCTAAAGGTGGCAGGGAGCTCTGTGTTCCCTAGAGTACTTTCCATCCCACCTTTCTTAGTAGTAATGTTGCCTAATTTTATTTTACTGTACCAATGTGCCAAGTGGCTATTATGATTCCTATAGTGAATCTCCATTAAAAGGACCAGTTACTGCAATTTTCCTGTATCTAATGCTCTTCTGCGGATATGTCAGGCAAAGCTGACAATGATCCCACTCACAGGATGGGTATGAGGCTGGCCTTAAACTCCCCATGAGGCCAACATATTTATCCAGTCTTTAGGACAGAATATGTTTTCTCTGGAACTTTTCCTTTCTCTTCCATTCTCACTCCCCCATACCTCTGACGGGCCAGCTGGCCTGTCTGTCTGACTGACTGCCTCCTTCTCTTTCATATATGCTAATCAGGATCCACTCACTGTCAGGATATAAAACATGCCTGTTCCATGTCTCACTCCATCCTGCTCCATTTTAGTAACAATAAGAACAAGCATATTATATCCCATGTGCTCATTCATCCCATGGACGACAGGATTTCTTAAAACAGTTCTATGCCGTTTGTCATGTTTCCTCTGTGGCAGGGCCTCTGCCCAAAAGACTGTTCCAACCCCCCTGCCTTGTTGCCTCTAAGTAAGTAATTCCTACTAATTCTTCAGATGTCAACTCCACTGCCACTTTGACAAGAGAGCCATCCCTGACCTCTGGGCTGAGTCAGTCTGCCATCCTGTACTCTCCCAGAACTTCCTGGCACCCCTTCACAGTTCTGTCACAGTGGTAACTTTACATTGTATGTGTAATTTTTGATAAATATCTATTTCTTTTTTGTTTTGTTTTTGAGATGGAGTCTCACTCTGTAGTCCAAGTTGGAGTGCAGTGGCACGATCTCGGCTCACTGCAACCTCCATCTCCTGGGTTCAAGCGATTGTCGTGCCTCAGCCTTCCAAGTAGCCGGGACTACAGGGGCACGCCGTTGAGCCTGGCTAATTTTTTGTATTTTAGTAGAAACAGGGTTTCACTATGTTGCCCAGGGTGGTCACAAACTCCTGAGCTCAGGAGATCCTCCTACCTCGGCCTTTCGAACTGCTGGGATTACAGGTGTCAGCCACTGTGCCTGGCCAAATACCTGTTTCTTTCACTAGGCCACCAAGTTCTGTGATTGCAAAAATGATGTCTGCTTTGTTCACCATAATTTCCCCTGTGCTTAGCAGTGTCTGGCACATTAGGTGTTCAATTAAATATTTGGTATGTGAAGCAATCAATATTGCTAATGGTAGGAATTTACCTTAGCTTCTGTTTCTTTTCTTCTTCCTAGGCCAAGATTATCTCAGGATTTCATGAAGAGGAGAAATGGAGGTCATTTCCTAGAGATTAATGGAGAATTTGATTGTGAGAAGAAAATTGTTTAAGGAGCAGGGGTGGGTTTGGAGGCAAATGTCACACACTCCAGAAGGTAAAGTGAGCTGGCTCTTCCCCTCTTACTCCTTGGAAAGAGGGAAAGCTCATCAGAGCCAGGACCCTGGAAAAGCGATGTGATGAAGAGAAGGAGGCCCTGAATAGCGGCATTTCCAAGGAAGCCAGGGATGTGACTCTGTCTTGGTTGCAGAGATCAAAAGGTTTTGTGAAGGAAGCAATGGCTCTCTAGCCCCCTTCTGGGTGGATTCTGGGGTAGAGGGATCCGGTTCCTTTGATAACTGGTTAGTTATAGCTATAGGGTGAAGCCAATTGAGTAATATTGGTCTGGGCTTCCAGAGACACAAGGTCTTCTTGAACCATAAGCTCTCCGAACAATGCCCCACCTAGGCAGAACAGAGAACTCTGAACTTTTGCCTGGAGAGAACAAAGAAGTGCACGTCTCGGGAGCCACCAGACCTGGGACTACCCATTGGACCCCTAACCTCCACTGTTCTTGGCCTGTCTCTCTTTCCCATTAGATTGTGAGTTCTTTGAGGACAGAGACTACCTCTTCTCCATCCTTGTTTCCCTAGCCTAATACACCATCAAATAATGCTGCGGAAAGAAAAAGTAAAGGAATAAATAAATAAACCTTAGATAAGTGGTCCATCCACTAATCCTCAATTCCTGATTAGTAAAATGAGAATAACAATAGCTACTAACAAAAGTATTGTGTAGACTGTATGACTTAATGAATGTGAAAGCACCTGGTATGGAATTTAACATAAAATAGATAATCAAAAATACATTATCCTCTTTGTTTCGACTTTAATCACACATCCTCCCTTTAAGTACTCACTGAACTTTAGTGACTTTCATATTTTCTAGCCTTAACTTGACAGTGCATCAGTGGTTAAAGAATCATAAAATATCAGAACAAGAGGGCACCAAAAGTGGACATTTGTCTTGCTTTGTCTTGTTTTATTTTCCTGCTCTTAATGTATTCCCTCTCACACACATCATTTTCCTGTATTGAGCCCCCAATCTCAATTCCGTGACTCAGGAGGAGCTGACCCCATTCAGACTCTGGGGATGGAGTCAGCCCAATGGTGGCCAATCAGAGCACTGATATACCTCTTTCCACAGTGATTAGTGAGGTATGGCATGGCCCATACCTGACTCAGTTCTGGGACTTGTGAAACAGGGAGTTACCCTTACACTGAGAGGCTGGGATATCCACCAGGAGCTTCTGGCAGCCAATTTGCTTCTAGCAGGGGAGAGCTGGTTGAGTAATGAAGCCAATGCTTAAGAAACAGTGCTGAGGGGTTGAGGACAGAGAGCTTCAGACTAAGCCTTGATGATGCTGAGTCCTTAGATCCAGCAATGCCTGAAACAAGTATCCCTTTGGACTTTTGAGTTTTATGAGCTAATTAATTTCCCTTTTTATTTAAGTCAGTTTGAGTTGGGTTTTCTGTCCCTTGCAATCAAATTTTGGCTAATATAAGATGTTGGAGTTTGTTTCATCACACCTCTTAATTTTATAGATGAGGAAGAGATTTGCAAATCACATGAGCAGTTTTTACACACACCAATTTTCCAAATAACTATATTGCTTCAATTCCTTTTATCCTTACTGCTGACCAGAACAGGGACAGGTTGTTCTTATACCTGAATACGGTCATAGAATATTGATTTTGATCACAGAATGCCTAATCTTTCTGTAACAGAGCAAATTTTTAAATTCAAGTCCTTGGGAATCAGTTTTGTTTTTCATTACAATGTTTTTATCCCCCAAGCAGAACTGCTGATGACTATCCTTTTCCTTCCACACAGCATAATCAGCAGCAATTAATTACAATCACAAGGAGACAGCAGAAATGAACACAGCATTAATTGGACAGAAGTAATCAAAATCTCCCTTAGCCCACAGTTAGTACCTGTATGCAGGAAGATGTGAGGAGGCACATGCATGTGTACACACACACAAACATACACATACCCTACAGTCAACCAGGGAATAAGAAGAGGATATAGGATGAGCATCCTCTCTCATCAGCATGGTACAGTAGAAAACAAATCAAGGACTTTGGAGTCACAAAGATCCCACCACTTACCAGTTGCTTAAACTTAGCTTTCTCATTTGTAAAACAAAGATACACAGACCTACTTCAAAGTGGATGAGAATATTAAATAAGAGTATTATGTGTAAAGCACTTTTTACTGGTATGTAGCAGGAACTCTATACCTTCTAGTTCTTTTTCCCTCCACATCAAACACCTTTTGTGGCTGGTAGAGAATGAAGACCTAATAAGATCGGAAATTTTAGACCCTCAGATGTTCTTAATTCAGCCTAACCAATTTGATCATCTCCCCTAGACCCTCCGCTTAATCCTACACCATTCCCCTTTCCCAGTCTCTGCCCCCTGCCCCACATTCCTGCTTCCTCTTGCCTCTTTGCCTCTTTCCCCTCTGGGTTGTCAATTCTGGGAGGGCAGCTTGGTATCTCTGTTGCCCCTCACGGGACCTGACACACAGTAAACAATGAGTGGACATTTGTTTAATAACTATTGATGGAGTCTGTGTCTGTGCTTATGTTCTCCTTCCACCCGCAGCATCCAGCCCTTCTATCTTGGTCTCAGTCTTAGTCATCCTTCAAGGCTTAGCCTAGAAGCTACCACCTCCTCCATGAAATCTTTGAAACTTGTCCCTGGGACCACTATCCCCTCCTCCGAACTCGGTACCTCTTTCATGACACCTGCAGCTTTTTATCTTGTGTTATAAAATTTACACAGGTGTTTCTTCTTCACTATGACCTCGAGTTTCTTCACTCAGTCATTCAACCTCTTTGAGTTAGTGTATGCTGGTAACTATAGATACTGAGGCATCAGAATGGGTATGTGTCCTTGAGATGCTCAGGTTCAAATTAGTACTTGAGCACAGCAACTGTGTCTGACTCATCTTTAACACCCCATGCCTTGGGCCACTGTGGGTGATCCTCAAATACTTGAAAATGGCAATAGGTAGCCTATGAGAAGGCATCTGAGTCAGAATACTGGTGAGTCTTGTGAGGTTATAGAAGGCCAGTGAGCTCCCTCAGGTTGGACACAAATGCCCCTGGGTTTTCTGAAGGAAAATATTTTATAATATGGAGAGAAATCTGGCTCTAGATCATGCCATATACTACGTACTCGAATCAAAAAATCCCTGAATAAACTGACTTGGTGCCCAGGGATATACAGCTTCAACAATTTACCTGAAGAAGCTCTGACTACAGTCAGGCCCAGCTTTGCCACTGGTTTCACAGTGATGTTGAACAAGTCATTTATCTTCTCTGGGTATCAGTTTAGCTACCTCAACTTTATGCAACCAACAATTATGGACACCTACTGTGTTTCTGGCACTGTGCCTAGTCCTGGAAATACAGAAATAACTCATATATGATTAGCAATTTTGAAGGCACTAATCTAGTAGGCAATATGAAAAGGGCCATCAAAGAGAGGTGTTGTAACAACTCTATGTTGTGTAGCTCTCCTTCTTCCTTTCTTTCTGGATAAATTCCCAAGCTCCTTTACCTGACATCAGGTTCCTTGTGATTTGCCGCTGCCTACCTGTTTAGTTTCTCCTCCACATTGACCCTGCACCCCATCCTGGCCATACTGTAGTGCTAGTCATTCCCTAATGCTCCATTATCATTCACGTATTTGCCCATGTAGTATCACTCCAAAATTCTCTACCTGCTAAATGTATGGTGATCCTTCAACACAAAGTGAAAGTGCCATAATTGAGGTGTACACAGAAAGAGCATCACATTTGTAAAGGAAGAAGAATTCTAATATTATAGTTTTTAAAAAACTTCTTTTATTCTTTTCTTTTTCTTTCTTTCTTTTTCCTTCCTTCCCTCCTTCCCTTCTTTCCCTTCCTTTCCTTCCTCTTCTCTCTCTCCTTTCTTTCTTTTGTAAACGGAAGAGATTGAATTAGATTAACTCTACCAACGCTGTACCACCCAATGATCAATGATGTAGTAATTACGTAATCTTTGTACTGGGTCTTTGGACCTCATGATCACACTATCTGACCTGTGCTTCCCTCATGGTGTTTGAAAATGTCCCAAGAGCCAATTAACCCATATGATGGTTCATTTTATGTGCCAACTTGACTAAGATGCCTAGACATTTGGTCAAACGTTATTGTGGATATGTCTGTGAGGTTATTTCTGGGTGAGATTAAAATTTGAGTGAGTAGACTTAGTTAAGTAGATTGCCCTCCCTGATATGGGTGGGCCTCATCCAATCAGTTGAAGACTGAATAAACAAAGAGGCTGAGAGGGCATTCCCTCTCTACTGACTGCTGACTACTCGAGCTGGGACATGGGTCTTTTTTGACTTTTGGACAAGAACTGAAATACGGTTCCTCTTGGGTCTCAAGTCTGTTGACTTTCAGATTGAAACTTGCACCATCAGCTCTCCTGTTTCTCAGGCCTTTAGCCTTAGACATATCAGCTCTCCTGGGACTCCAACTCATTGACTGCAGATTTGGGACTTCTCAGTCTCCATAATTGTGTAAGCCTATTCTTTATAATCAATGTCTTTATGCATATAATCTCTTTACATATATATATATATGAAAGCAGAACCAAAAGGAGATATATAGATGTAGATATGGATATAGACGTAGACATAGATATAGATATTGATATTGACATAAATATTCTATTGCTTCTATTTCTCTGGAGAACCCTGACTAATGCGACCATATTGCAGGCCTTGGGCTTGGCTTTCTGAAGAATGTTCCTCTCAATGGTGAGTAAAATGTCAAGTCTCCTCTACCACACCCAACTTTTCATTTCCTATATTCTTGGCTCTGCTGTTGATTATTGTTTTCTCGCTAGAGGAAAGATACCGTAAGATATGGGAAAGAACAATTTCATAGAATCCTGCTACATGGAGCTAACAGAACCCTTAGCGATAATTAGGTTTCTTATTTCAGAGCAGTGAGGTGCCTGTCCGTGGTTCTGTTCTTTGTAGACACTTGTGGAATGCCTTCCTGTTATTCCAACTCTCTCTTCTCCTCTTATTGAAGGCTTAACCTCCCTTTTAGACCCAGCTCAAAATCTGCTCCATTTAGAAGGTCTTCCCAGATTCCCCCAAGTTGGAATTCATTGCTCT